TCGACCATGCATTTAACATGTATAACTAATATACAATTTTTTTTAGATCTGAAGTATAAATACTTAGTTATAATTAAATAATATATATACTTAAGTTATTGTTAAAGTATTTAACTAATCCTTAACAATAGGTATATGTATGAATATAAACAAGATACCACCTTTGGATTTTTTTTTCTAAGAATAAAATATTTTTTTCACTGGGATAGTGATGAAGGACAACTAAAAGAAACTTCATATTCACTCTATTTTGGACTGCATTCCATTTTGATTAATATTAAAAATCTGTTAAAACAATTAATGCAATACATAAAATGTGAGTTTGTATTTAATTAACTATTATTTTTTTTTTTAGAAAAGATTAATATATAGAATGATAAAAAAAACCCTTTGAGATAAAGGTTTTGTTATAAATGTTTCTTTAAATTGTACACGGGTACTTAAGCATTGATCATAATCCTTGCAGTTGACAACACAACAAAATTTGCCTAGAAATTTTATAAAAATAGAAAAAAAATCCCGGTAAATTGTTTCAAAAAAGTGTTTAAATCTTTTATAGTTAGTTTTTTTTAAATTCTAACCGCAGCATATAGTTTAAAAGGATACAATATTGATGATATTAATTTATTGAATTTGTGTCTTTTTTTTCCATAATATTTAAAGATAACCAATTTATAGTAAAATTTTTAACATGTTTTTATAGCAGGGTATGATATTAGACAAGGTCACTATATTGCTAGCAAAGAAAAACACATGATTTCAATATATTAAGTACATGTACTCCTGTTCATACACACAAGTAATAGAGCTAACGATATCTTGGGAAAGAATAAACATTTGACCAGTGACCACTTAGTGAAGACGATGAAGCGATAATTGTCTCAGAGTTTCAGATTTCAGCATTGGCCATACATAAACAAACTATACGGCCCTGTTTCATCTAAACACATTAATTCTTTGACACACTAGATTATTCCTTTGAGTCTCGTTAAGTGTGTTCTGCTCTACTCTAAAACCATCAGAATTAACAGTGCTGAGCATCTAGTGAAGCACGGATGATTTTTTGATTGAACTAGGTGAAACACAGCTATTGTTCTCTTTATCAGATCAATTAATGTTTGATTTAAAAAAAAAAGCAAAAAAGACACTGACTTGTCATATAAAATGTACCAGGTCTGTCTAAAACTTTAATTCAAAATAGAGTGTACGTCTCTTATCAATACTGTATAGTTAATACATGGACATGTTAAATCATGCCAGTTTACAAATTAAAAAATATACCCGTTAATACAAATTAAAAACACTACATAAATATGTATATTTTGCATATTTTTAGAAAGTATATAGGATAATTTCAGTGGCAAGGGGGGGGGGGATTATTTTTAAAGAGGCAAATTCTCAATCAAAGTTTCCTGTGTTAGGTGCCCCTAAACAAATCTTATCTTAAATTATTCCTTACATCCTAACCTATCAAAATATCACAATTTTATTTAGGGGCAAGCCTGCCCTGGTGGACTTCAAGGCCAAAATTCATGCAAAAATCAACGCTTTCAAGGACAAAATGGTGTTTCGATCAACTTTGGAGGTTTATTGTAAAGTTGTAAATAATAAATTTTAGGTATAAAATACAAATTTAAAAAATTTAGACATATATACGGTAGAAAACAACAAATAAAGACTGATTTTTAAATGTCACTTTTTCCGGGAAATTGTTCTCTCCTATAGGTCAATTCTTTTGTTAAAGCGAATACATCCTTTGAACTTTCATGATCAATTAAACTAAAAAAGTATTAAAATTGTTTCAAATTCAATTCATTTATTGAGAACACCATTTCAAAAGAAAGACTTTGAAACAACCAAATATTTAGTATTATTTAAGAAAACAATATTGAACAGGACGACAGTAATGTAATTTTGCATCATTAAGACTTTATTTATATTTCTTTTATTACAAATATGATCAATATAGGTTTATAAATGTTCTTTTTCTCTGTGCTTTAAATAGTTACTGACTATTTTGCAACAGAAAATTTCGACATCAAAGTTTCAGCTTATTTTGATTTAATTTTAAAAGAGCCTTTTAGAAAACTCAGATCTTTTAACTGGCGTCACAGTTTCATAAATATATATAATAGATTCTAATGAAGATTAAACCAGGCGATTGGCAAAATATGGAAAAATAGGCATTGGCACGTTGTCTGAATGGAAACTGAAAGCAACTATTCCATTAAGGAGTGAAAAAACAATTAGATAGATTACTGATATAACACGGTCAGTATTTAATGCTGACAAAGCAGTAACAAAATTGTCTTTATTTTAAGACTCCTCAATTATATTCTAAGAGGAACTGTGATTTACTAGTGATTCTACTGGTGGTTATCCAACTTATACTCATAGATCCCTTTCTATAGAAGGAGGAAATTCTTCAAAATCACATGTCAATTTTTTAAGTATTTTTAATATTCTCAACAATCAATATGAACTTGATCTATATTGGATTCTCAAACTTGACAAACATCTTTACAAAGATTCTTAGCTGGTTTCAGTAAATGTTCTACAAAGCATTTTTCTTTACTCCTTACTAAGATATTAAGAGTAGTGAAGGAGAAAATTCAAGAGTATTATGCAACAATATATTCGATGAGTGGTGTAAATCAGATGAGAAGACTTAAAATATTAAGACACTTTTTGGAAATTTGAAATCGCAAAATTTTACCAAAATCGACAATATCAAAACTTACAACTTTATTCACAACTATTCCCGACGATAAATTAAAGTCTGGACTATTTGATAGTATTGACAGTTGATTTTTAAATGGGAACTCGTAAGTTTACATACCTTGTCATTGGTTATTTCCAAAATTATTTTGTTAAAAACATTCTAATTGTACACACAAGTACTCTGAAGTTGATATTAAAAAGATGCTTGAGTTTCTGATTGACAATATAAAGTATGTGGTTTTTGGAGACTAGGTCTTCCAGCAATCCTTTGGGATTCTTATTTCCTTTTTTATTTCGATACGATACATCCCGGTGAGCTTTAAATAATATATAACAGATTTTGATGCATCTCTTTCATAATTTGATATTTTGATTGAAAAAAAAAAACAATGATGATAATCAAATAATCAAGCTTTATCATGCTTATGATATATGTAAACGTGATGGCTGCAATTCATTTATAACAAAAGAAAGATAACTCCTTTCTACTATAATCAAAGTTCTTTATGATGGAAAGGAGGAAAGGATAAAGTTGAAATTATTATCTTGTTAATATTTTATTAATTAACAGATATTACTTTTAAAATTAAAATTACCAAAGAATTAACAAAATTTAATTTATTTATTGGCATAGTATCAAATTCTTTATTTCATTGCTCCTAAAAAATGAAAAGAAAGCAAATTGTAGTCCCTTTTAGAACATCTCTGATAATTTACTGGTATGACACACCCGTACTTGTCTAGTTTTGTAAATCATGACCCCGGAAAGGGTGGGTGGGGGGCGGGGGTAGATGCTTACCACAATTAGGGACCAACGTTTAACATAGGCAATAGAATGGGGCCGCAGTGAATTATATAAGAGTTTGACAAACAAGGAAGCTATAAAAGGCGGAGTTACACAATGGAAATAGAAGCTAATTTTAATTGTAACAAGTCATTTGATTGGATAAAAGAGTTATATCGAATAACATGTTTCCTATTATCACAACCAGCTACCTAAAGAAAGTTTTTTTTACTAAAATTAAACGACAGGTTTTTTCACAAAAGAATTTTAAATTTGAAAAATACGCAATTTTCAAGGCTTAGAAAATTCATAGTTTTTCAGTTTAAGGTCTTTTAAAATTGTTTTGATGATATGTATATCAAAAAGATGACTATGTTTTTGTGTTAAATGGTTAAAGGAATAAGCCAATGAAATTTGACATTTATATCTAACCGGGTTTTTTTGAAAATCAAGGTTTAAGTAGTTCATTGATTAAATTTTTTTCTCCTTGTAAACAATGAAACGTATAAAGACGTTCGCATCATTCCAAAAACCAATAATTAATCTTTGTCCAAAATATGCATACATGCAGTAGATATATTTAAAAATACAAAAATAACGAAAATTAAACGACAGGAATTTTTTGGGGTATGTGTGTTGTACATCCTTAAAATATGGTCAATTTGAAGCTATTTCGGGAAGAAAAATTGTCTCATTATCTACACTAAAATTAAATTATAAGGAATAAGGCTTATTTTAACCTATTTTAAACGATATAACATAATTTGGGACAGCGTACATTTTTTTTTATATAAACCGCTTTATAGTGTGTAAACTGCCCCAAGTTATGTTATATCGCGCGTATAACATAGGTTAGAATAAACTTCATTCCTTAAGTAATACATTTCACAGAAACAAATCTGCTGTTTAATAATGGGGTGACGCATGTGAGCGTTGTGGTTCATGGACCAGTTTTTCATATCCCTTTTTTAAAGTGATTTCGTGATTGATATCGAACTCTCTCTATATATAAATCATTATATTTCCGCATTTCCACATGTCCTTTATGTCTATTCAGGAAATTGTCAATAGTTTGCCTAATATTACAGTCAATATGGAAATACTCGTGTTTAAAAACAAATTAACAAAAAATAGAAAAACGAAATTAAAAAGAATATCAAGTTTCAATAATTTCCGAGACACGGATTCGAAAAAAAGTAGTTTCGCTCTCCTTGCCAGAAAATATCCATAGCAAACCAAAAAAAAAAAAAAAAAAGAGAGAACTTATATATATGTAAGCTCAAGTATATTTCGTCTGGAATTAAGTACTTAGCTCTTAAGAATTCTTATTTAGTTCTTAAAACTAATTGAGACAAGAAGGCTTAATTGTTCTTAGGAAAAAAAAATCCTTTTCATCTTTACGATCCTACCGCACCATTCTTAAATAAAGAAACAAAGTTTTAGCATATTCTCCGCAAACTCCAACGGCAAGAACCCGGAAGTATGTTATTTTTATATTCCGTGGATATGCGTTATAAGGCGTGTATGATGCAAGCATAGAGTGGATTGTTATGACTCAGGCTCCTATAGCGTTATAATCTGGGAACTTCATTACCGGATTTCTTGATTATTTAGTTTTAGAAGATTAACACAAGATAAGGAACGAACGCTGTATGATATAGAGATATTCCGCGCAATTGAATCTGTGTCGTTTCCAGGGGAACGCTTTGCTAAATTACACAGTGGTTGGTCGACCATGCGAAGTTTTGAGGCAGTTGGTAAATTATAACAAACTCCGTACTTTTGAAGAGGAAAAAAGAGCCGTTTTCTGGCTATACTTTGACATTAAGAGTTCAGTTTAGTTCTTCGTCGCCGTTTCCTTTGTCATACTTTTTGAGAATGAACAGTTGTACCGCCATCTCGGGGTTAATTTTGCTGGTGGTGACCAACTTAGCGTGCATTGTCAGCTTCGCCACCCCTTACTGGCTGGAGAAAACAGGGAAGACGATAGGCCTGTGGGCGGAATGTCATGACCAGAAATGTGAATGGGTGTTTGAAAAGTCCAGCTACAGTCCCACCGACAAGGGTAAGACAAGATGTTTAAAGTTTCAAAAAAATATATTCACCGATATATAAGAAAATTGTAAATGAATAAAAATTTGTCTGAATAAAGTTTTGAAATTCATTGTAACAAATATTTCTGAGAAAATTTGTATTTGTGTACCAAAAAGATAATTCCCTTAAATTTTGCAATAAGAGCTACTCTGACTAGGAAGCTCTATAGAAATGTCAGCTAATGACTGAGGTGTACATTTTTTTCTCTTTAAGCTTTCATCTTTAATTGATATAAGAGCACCGACGCCAAGTTCAGATTCTTGCTCTATATTTTTTATTTTTCGCGTTTTTGTTCTCCATTATAGGTTACAGAGTGCAACCTATTATAATGATTTAATTGAGCTATATTTATTTACAGATTACGTCATCGCTTCCCAGGGATTGATGTCCGTTGGCCTGGCCGTGTGTCTCATAGCACTACTTGTCGCTACCTTAGCCTTATGTTGCCAGTGCACTAGTTGCAACCACGCAGGATTTGTGGCGGGTTTGCTTATAACAGCGTGTAAGTTTTAAAGACTTGTTCCTATTTATTATTTTATCATGTTTATCATGTTTTATTGTACATGTAATGTATTTTTTGTTGCATCCAAATTTCGAGTTTTGTACTATTTATGTTATTTGTTTGTTTGTTATTAATTTAAATTTCACTTTGGAAACATTTTACTTGTCTCATGAGAGCACCTGCTAAAAATCTGTTTTCCCCAGAAATCACTCAATACATATAGATATCAAGTATCAATATATCCTGCGTCCTGTTCAGTTGATACATTTTTAGAAAATTTATAAGATGATTGGTTTTCGATAAAACAATTTAAATAAAAAATATTTCATTAATATAATAATATATTTAAAACAGGTTTTTGTTTAAACTAAAATTAAAAATTCTTATGGAAGTTGTCCCAATGATAAACAAGTTTATTTGTAGACTATTAAACAAAGGAGACATTTGAAAAATATGGTTAAATGTAAATTCATTAAAAGACTTAGCAGGCTACAAGTGGGCGAGCACTCATTTTCTCTTGAAGAATTTCAAGCTACAATAATTTCTCCTTGTAATGCTCTTATTTTCATTACATTCTACACTGATTAGTACTTGAATGCATAGAATAAAATGGCGCATTAATATAATTTTGAATATATTTAAATAACATCTGACAATAGGTTTCAAGGACATAAGCAACGTACATGTACACAAACTCTAAAACGTGCTCAACCAAAAAAACAAAACAAAAAAAAACCTTTTACCCCACTTTACAAGAAAGAAAGCTGTTTACGGAAAAAATGTGGGATTATTACGTGATGCAGAGTCATTCTAAGGGGGGGGGGGCGCACCCGGCGCGCGCCCCCTTAAAATTGTCCAAGTTAGCATAAAACATAGTTTGTCGAGAAAATGTTTTAAATGTCTACTCGGTAGACCTCATTTTTACCCTACAAAACCTCTAGAATCCAAGAGCTTCCGGGGCCTTCGCCCCCTGGGCCCCCACCCGGGCGCCCCCAGACCCCCTGCCTGAATCTGGCGCCCCCCTAACTTCAATTCCTGGATCCGCCCCTGGAAATACATTGCATATGTAGAGACAGTGTGAATCGACATACATGTATAAAGTTAAAACCAAATAAATGCAAGCGATTATTCTGGGGATTTTACAATTATTTGTTATTGTATACATGATGAATAAGTTTAATAAATAAAACTTGTGAAAAAAAATGTCAAATAAGCCTTAGGGTTGAATATCGAGGGGGGAGGGGGTGGTACCTTTCACAAGTACCTGTGGTTTTCCTAACACAGGAAATGCATGAAAATTAAGTTTATTAAACAATTCAAAAATATATCTCCTGATATATGAAATCTATTTAATATTTAAGAATCTATAATATAAATAAAAATATTTTTTGCTGATCAAAATTCCATTAATTATTTAAATTTCCCTCTAATATATATAACACTTTTTCTTGCATTGTAATTTAATCAAATGACCCATTTGATATAATTATATTGAACTATTTCTTGATAGTAAAAACATAATAAAGGGAAATAATCAAATGTTGAACCCGCTTTTGATTGGTTGTTTACTTGAAGAAACTCGAATTTTGAATCTCGAATTTCGAATTTTGAATCTCGAATTTCGAATCTCGTATTTGGAAACTCGAATCTCGAATGAGCCTTCTGGGCTTTCGTAAGTTTTGACCATATATACATGAAAATAATGAAAAACCTTAAATTTGTAAAAGAAAACTTGGCATGATATTATAGTTTAGCTGCTATTTGACATAAATTTGATTTTGATGTGTACAGTATTGCCAGGCATTAAAAATGACAAGAATGGTCCTACAATAATTGGAAATTTTAAAGTTTACAAAGAATAAGAAATTGAAGTTCAAGACTATGTTGCGTATGCCCTCAAACTATTTTTTCTGTCCTCTGTATCAAAATGATTAATAGATTTGTATCCTAATTTTTTTGACAGTTTTAAGCATGGGAATAGCTACGGCCGTGTACGGAATTAAATCATCTAAAGAAGAAAATGCCAAAGTGTCGTATGACGCGTCCCTTCACTTCGGATGGTCATTCTGGGTGGCGGTGGGGGCAGCTGGAATGGCACTGGTGACGTCATTGATTTACGGCTGTTCTTCCAAAGGAACGGACGAATAATCATACGAGAAAGCTCAACAGAAAATACAAAAACTTTGTTCATTCCTAAACAAACAATAACCCTTCTATTTGTAAAATAATGTATAAATGTAGATAAATTATGGAACAATTTAGTACTTTCAAAGCATTCAAATTATTTTATTCCGTATGTAGTATTACATGCATATTTTGAAGTGATGTTTTCATATTTTGTTTTAAATTATCATGAATATGAAACTGTCAGGAAGTTAAAAACATAGATGAATAATTTCCTTAATTGTTAATAATGTAAAACACAAGTACCCTAATTAAGAATATATATGGAATTTCAGCATCAGGAAGTACATACTTTTAGGAAATGGACTTTATCTTCAGGAAGTTGTATAAAACAATGAACTGTTTAGATGTGAATTTTCTCTTAGCAATATTTCAATCATGTACGACAACACGTCTTTTAATGTTAGCATTTTTTTAGTTGACACAAATAGTACTTTGGACTACACAAATAGTACTTTGGACTATGAAAATGAACTAGAAGTTGCTTTGGCGGGAAACACGGCGTTGTTGGTTTTATTCATGCTTTTTGGCTCCTTTGGTAACTGTTTGGTGCTGTTTGTTTATAAAGACTACAAATTCTCCAACAAGCTTGACGACCGCCGCTTCATACCCTATCTGGCTCTGATGGATTTCATGGCTTCCCTAGCCTCGTCCTGTCAATACATGATCGAAAATGGATATCCGCTGCGGTATCCCGGAAGTTTATCTTGCAAGGTTTTGACATTTACAAGCTTGCTTCCGGCATCTATTTCGGGGATGATTTTGCTTGCAATTGCATTTCACCGATATAAAAGAGTTTGTAATCCTTTTTCTCGCTTGCACATCACACAGACTCAAACAATTGCAATGACTGCTGTGGGCGGCTTAGTTATATCTTTTCCCTCGTTAGTTTTTAGCGACATAACTTTGTTTTTTGACATAGAACATGGAATTAACGCGACAAAGTGCCTACGATTGTCACCCACATTAAAAACCTCGTCTAGTGTGTATTCGTCGTTTATAGCAGCCCTTTGTGTAGGGGGTATTCTTTTCATTATTGTGTCCTACTCACTGGTCGGCGTCCGCATCAAAAGACAGTACTCCCTGGCCCAGTCCACGATTAGAACGACTCCCGCCAACGATATCGATGACACGTCCGAAGACCTGACGGCGAGCACATTTTCGTTGTCTACTGTTGCTACGAAAGATATGTTTTGGCATACAAAAGACTATAAAACACACTCCACTTTCTACCTAGACGACATTGATAAAGCAGAAAATTCAAGTTGTGTGCCATCTAGCATGAATACCCTTGAAACGACATTAAAAAAGAAGAAAAAGCGCGCAAAGCAAACAAGATTTATTCAGCGCAAGCGAGCTCGGTTTTTAAGATTTACTTGGATGTTTGTTATCATGTCGGCAGTGTATTGCTGTTCCCTTCTTCCTAGAGTTATCGTTCGTGTTCTAGAGATGGCGGTCACAAACTTCTGGTTCAAGCTTGACAGGGAAACGCTGGTAGCCATGACGTTTCTGGCACGAATTTACATCATTAGTTTTATTGTTAATCCGGTAATATATGGATTCTTTGATAATAAATTCCGTAAAAAATGTAAGCGTTTACTTAAAAACTGTAATTGTTATTTACGAGTCACGACAACGACGGTATAGTTATGTATTTTTATGTTATACTAGGTTTTTTGTATCAATAAATACTTGTATTTTCCTTATTTATTTTTTAAAAATGCATTCTATAGTTTAAATTCGTAGCAATAACAGTGGAAACCGTCTCCCAAAAGAACGTCTTCCTTCTGATTAAAGAAAAAATAGTATTGTTATTTATATTTTGTACTGCATTGCATGTATCGACGATATTTTTATTATATCTGTTTAAAATCGCTTCCTCTTACATAAAAGGAGTGTCATACTTAACTGCAATTTTTTTATGGAAAGATTTGTAAGTAAAGCACTGACAAATAAGAATGAATTTTCATAAATATACTTTTTTATGATCACAAAGTGTAATTGTTAATAAAATTGAAAAATAAATATTATATTTTTGAAAATTATTTTGTATATTTATTTTACTATATATTGTTTAAAATATAAAACATATGGAGATAAAGAACAGCATTCAAGATCAAGACCATAAAACAATACAAAATAGGAGCAGAGCATACACGGACCTCCAAAACATCAGAGGTGGGATCAGGTGCCATGGAGGATTGAGTATCTCATGTCGACCAGTCGCACCCGCCGTATGTTCCTTGTCATGATCGGGAAATAACGAAAAAATCCGTCATTTATCCAGTGTATAAATAATGGACTAACAATGGGTATGAAAAAGTCAGTCTGCAGTTGACTCAATGACTCTTATTTGCTGACAAAGTCATTGTATCGACCATAGAACTTACGAAATTATGACTTTAAACGAGACTGCAGATTTTCTTGTTTCATCATCTTGTCTGTCAGTAATTTACCTTGTTTTAGAACTTATATTTACGTAGATCATGCTCTCGCGTATTGAATCAACTGAGATATATACACTCCGTATGCAGTTGATGAAGGTATATTGCTGCATAAGTAAGGGAAGTTGACGAATAAAAAATTCTCATCATCAGGTTTATCATATTGCTTGGTTGTTAGATAACCATTAATGTCTTTTTCAAGTAAAATATCCAGTTACAAAACAGATGTGTCAACCTCTGTGGTATCTTTTGTATCAAGCTGACCGGGATATTTCGCATCAACATAAGAATGGAAATTACCTTTGTTTATTGACAATACGTCGTCGATTTATCTAAATCTTGAGTTGAAGACCACAGCAAGTATTTTTTTTCTTTTCACGCATAAGATTTTGCACAAATTCTGCTTTTTTGAATACAAAAATAGGTCTGCTAATAACGGGGCGCAATTTGTACCCACAGGAATTCCAATAGATTGTTTAAAGACGGGTCTCCAAAAACAACAAAGATTGTCAATCATGCAGAAACTCAAGTATATGAATCCTTTATTACACTTTTTTTCGGATGCTGTTTTCTTTTCAAATCTTTTCCAGTCTAAATTAGAAGAAATTTCAAAACAGACGTTCCAAGTTCACTGGTATATATCCAATTGACATATGAATTAACGTAATCATTGTTTATTTTTATACATCTTTGCTTTACCTAAATGTTGCGTTAAAAGCAATAGCATAGCCCTCTTCTTTTTAAGAAGAATGTTAAAAAATAAATTCTCCTTCATTGGAATATAAAAAGGCCAGCTCATTCAAACGGTTTGTTAGAAGATTTGGTCTCTGAAGACTATACATAAATGTCAGAAAGGAACTCCAATCTCATTTTAATATCATCCTGAGAGCACTTGTTTGTAGAATCAGAGTGATCTTTAACAAAGTAATTTGTAGACCATATAAAAGAAAGGAAAATTTCTTACTTTTACTGTTATTGAAGAAGCGTTGTCTATAATATAAAATGGAATCTCGGGGAATGGATTATAAAGTGTAAAAAGTTGTGCGTTTTGATGTTATTGAATGTTAAAAAAAAAATGGCGATTTCAAATTTTCCAAAAGTTCTTTGCAGTCTTTAAGGATCCACATCCGATTTACAAATATCGTCGACATACTGTAAATTCACATATTTTCGAGGGATTAAATTTCGTGGTTCTTGGAAAGTATATTGGTAAACGGGGATTTGATTACGAGGTTGAATAATTGTTCAGTAGTACAATATGTGAAAAATTGCATTTGGTGGTGGACATAAATTGGGTTTCTTCATAACTTTAAAACAACGAAAATCAAACCAAAACGAACATTTGCTATTTTACAGTATGAGTAAACATTTATACTTTAATTAATCTTTGTATATTAAATAAAAGCCATCGTGAAATCTTTCTTCTAATCGTATAGAGGTTTAAAAAATAACTTTATAGAAAAAAAAACCCATAATATATGATACCATTTCACGATTATATAAAATATAATGTAATGAATATTGAATTACAACAAATGCACGATAAACATTGCATATACTGTCCAATTTTATTCACACAATTTGATGGACATTGAAAGGAACACGACAAAATGAGTTCAGGTTGAAAATGCTATGGTTTTTAAATTATGTCCCCTAAATGACGTCAAATCTTGGTAATGTTCATGTCTAGACATTGCACAAAATTCCATAACTTAAGACAACAGTTCATTTCTCTTTAGTTATAACCTAGATTTCCATTGGAAGTATACCTTTTTAGATAAATTAAAGATTTAAATTTAGGTTTAGTACCAATATATTAAGACAGGATTTGATAATTAGTTTTGAAATGAGGGTATACCCAGCTAGTTTGATAAATCCATTTTGCTTGAAATGCAATTTTTAGCAATTTTTTGACGTAGTTATGTGGCTATATTATTCCAACTAAGTGAAAATTTTTAACTGAAATTATTTGTTGCTAAAAATTGTATTTATTCAAATATTTAATGAGACAAATTTCAAAGAAATTGGCCAAGACTTGAGTTTCTGACAATAATTTAAAATGGTATCATATATTATGGGACACCCTGTATATGTATACTGTCTGTATTGGGGTATCTAAAGACCACTTACATATTCCCAATGAGGACCTCAAGCATCTATTTAATTAAAATTCATAGCATTTGCGTGTAAAATCATTTTTATTTCCTTTGATGAACTGATTTTACAAATAAAAAGACAAGAGGCCCATGGGCCACATCGCTCACCTGAGTACTGTAGCTTAGAAAAAGTAGAAATTGGTTTATTATTGAAAAGTTAAAATCCAAAAGTAATCCCATGATCAATCATGGATTTGCTATTCTTCAAAGAATTTTCCCATAATTATTTCTATGTAAAACTTTGGTCGGCCATTTTGGCCCCGCCCTACCCCCTGGGGTCATGATTTGAACAAATTTGAATCTACACTACCTGAAGATGCTTCCATATAAATATGATGAATAATGGCTTTGTCATTCTTGAGAAGAAGATTTTTAAAGAATTTTCCCATTAATTTCTATGTAAAACTTTGGTCGGCCATTTTGGCCCCGCCCCACCCCCGGGGGTCATGATTTGAACAAACTTGAATCTTCACTACCTGAGGATACTTCCATATAAATTTGATGAATTATGGCTCTGTCATTCTTGAGAAGAAGATTTTTAAAGAATTTTCCTATATATTTCTATGTAAAACTTAGTCTCGTTCAACCAGACCCTCGGCTGTCTCCGTAAATCTCCGACCAGCCAGAGGGTCTGGTAAAGATACGTATTATCGATTGTGACGCCAAAACGAGGCTTACCGAAATTCTGGTAAAGTTTTGGATTGGCTGAAAAGAACACACCTACACGATTTAAATAAATACATGATAAACCAGGAGAAAAATAACTTAAAGATGTAAAAGTTATATGTCTAAAAGTTAAAGCTGTTAGATAGGAATTGTTCACGGTGTTGCCCACCAGTTATAGGTAAGTGTGTTTTATTATGTCTTGCAAATATTCCGTACGAAAGCAAAAGTGAAAGTAGTGTAGCCCTACCTGCGTAATACACATTCCTTCGATTGATATTGTAATTTCTCGTTTGGTGTCACAAATTAAAGATTAGTTTATTAATATAAAGTCACAAACCAGAAGAAGAAACACATATAACATTTGTTTTCAAAAAGGATCGTCAAAATGAAAACAAGATAGCGCCCTCTGACGGTTACAAACGCTTACGTGATTCTTTACCAGACTCTCTGCTGGTCGGAGTTTACGGAGACAGCCGAGCGTCTGGTTGAACGAGACTATGTAAAACTTTGGTCGGCCATTTTGGCCCCGCCCTACCCCCGGGGGTCATGATTTGAACAAACTTGAATCTTCACTACCTGAGGATGCTTCCATATAAATTTGATGAATTATGGCTCTGTCATTCTTGAGAAGAAGATTTTTAAAGAATTTTCCTATATATTTTTAACTCTTCTGAGCCAAAGGCTCAAAGAGCTAATGCTATGGCCATTTGTGCGGTGTGCGTCGTGCGGTGTGCGGTGTGCGTTAACTTTTTAGAAAATGGACCATAACTCAAGAACGCCTTGGCCAATCAGTGTCAAATTTGTCACAGGGTATCCTTAAACAAGGGGAGATAATCAGGAAAACAAAACCAAAAGTACTGGTTGCTAAAAAATCTTCTTCTCCAGAACCACCAGGCAGATTTTCACCAAACTTACATACAAGGATCAGGATATGTTGAAGATTAAAAATTGTTCAAGGCATGACCCTGGGGCAAAGGGCGTGGTCTCAAGGTCACTTCAAAGTTGACCTAAATTTACAATTGATAAAAACGTTTATATTTTGCTTACTATAAGGACTAGGATCATCAAATCTTGTAAGTTGATGCATCTTAAGACTTCACATCATGTTGAATCAAAAGTAGGTCACAGTGACCTACTTTTTTAATTCTGCAGGCATTTGTTTTCAAATTGATTTGAAGGCATATTTTGGACACTTTAAGGCCTATGATCATCAAACTTTGTTAGTTAATACATCTTGGGTCCTTGAACAACTTCAACTTAAAAGTAGGTCACCTTGACCTACTTTTTGAACTTTATGACTTATCCTTTTTCAAACATTTAATCCCATTATTGCAGACACTGAGAGGATTAGAATCATCAAATCTTGTAAATTGCTGCATCTTGGGACCTTAAAGCATATTTATGAAAAAGTATGTCACTGTGACCTACTTTTTGAATTTTGCAGGCATATGTTTTCATATTGTTTAAAAGGCATATTTTGATTACCTTCAGACCTACGATCATCAAACTTGGTCAGTAGATGCATCTTGCGACTTTGAAAAATGTTGACTAAAATGTAGGTCACGGTGACCTACTTTTGACATTTTATAGCTTTATTTAAGTATCTTAGGTATTTATAAGCTTAGAATCATCAAACTTTGTGAGTTGACGCATCTTGGGTTTTCGGAGAGTGACGACCAAAAAGTAGGTCATGGTGACCTACTTTTGACATTTTATAGCTTTATTTAAGTATCTTATGTATTTATAAGCTTAGAATCATCAAACTTTGTGAGTTGATGCATCTTGGGTTTTCGGAGAGTGATGACCAAAACGTAGGTCACAGTGACCTACTTTTCACATTTTATGGCTTTATTTAAAGATCTCTGGTACTTATTGGCTTAGAATCATCAAACTTTGTCAGTTGATGCATCTTGGGTATTCAGAGAATGTCAACCGAAAAGTAGGTCATGGTAACCTACTTTTGAATATCTCAGGTACTTATTGGCTGAGAATCATCAAACTTTGTCAGTTGATGTATTTTGGGCTTTCGAAAGTCGCCTACTAAAAATTAGGTCACAGTGACCTTCTTGAGAAGAAGATTTTTAAAGAATTTTCCTATATATTTCTATGTAAAACTTTGGTCGGCCATTTTGGCCCCGCCCTACCCCCGGGGGTCATGATTTGAACAAACTTGAATCTTCACTACCTGAGTATACTTCCATATAAATTTGATGAATTATGGCTCTGTCATTCTTAAGAAGAAGATTTTTAAAGAATTTTCCAATATATTTCTATGTAAAACTTTTGGCCATTTTGGCCCCATCAAACTTTGGGGGTGATGTATTTTGAACAAACTTCAAGTCTACACTACCTGAGGATGTTAAAAATCTTTCCTGGCACAGTGGTTCTTGAGAAGAAGATTTTAAAGAATTTTCCAATATATTTCTATGTAAAACTTTGGTCGGCCATTTTGGCCCCGCCCTACCCCCGGGGGTCATGATTTGAACAAATTTGAATCTACACTACCTGAGGATGTTACCCCATAAGTTTCATCTTTCCTGGCACAGTGGTTCTTGAGAAGAAGATTTTTAAAACATGCCACCAAATTTTCATTAATTCCCAATTATCTCCCCTTGAATGAGGGCGTGGCCCTTCATTTGAACAAACTTGAATCCCCTTTACCCAAGGATGCTTTGTGGCAAGTTTGGTTGATATTGGCCCAGTGGTTCTTGAGAAGAAGTCGAAAATGTGAAAAGTTTACAGACAGACAGACGGACAGACGGACAGACAGACGGACGCCGGACAAAATGTGATCAGAAAAGCTAATAAAGAAATCGGCGTGTTCTATTTACCTATATTAAAGAAGTGGTTCTATATCATAACGCCTCGTCCAAAGATCAAAAGCTGTATTTTCATTCATGTTAAACAATTTCCATATTTATATAATATTATTAAATACAAACATAAGATGAAAATATTGTTTCAAAATTATTTCAGAAATTATATTAATTTGAAATTTGAATTTTGGTGTCTGTTCTCAGCTTTTGATCTTCATGCTTGTTCTTAATTTATCGGGAGAAAGAAATTGATTTATAAATTGTTAAAATATATTCTGAAATAATTCTTTTTAGTATTTTAAAAAACATATTGACGGTGAAAAGCAAACTTTTGACTTGTAAGGGTGAAAAAGGTGATGATAACAAACAGTGATCTTATATATGTGGCGGTCAGCCGGGTTCGATCGCCGGTGGCCAGATAGCTCAGTTGGTAGAGCACCTGACCGGAGTTTCAGGGGGCCCGGGTTCGAATCCCGGTCTGGTCCACTGCATTTTCTCCTCTCCCGTTACATTTGGTGCCGTGCCATGCCCTGGAATTGACAGGTGCGAGACCGGCCAGGGATGAGCCTGGGTTGGGGTCTTTGGAGGGCCAAAGACCTTTAAGGAGGGAGGAATGTGGCGGTCAGCCGGGTTCGATCGCCGGTGGCCAGATAGCTCAGTTGGTAGAGCACCTGACCGGAGTTTCAGGGGGTCCGGGTTCGAATCCCGGTCTGGTCCACTGCATTTTCTCCTCTCCCGTTACATTTGGTGCCGTGCCATGCCCTGGAATTGACAGGTGCGAGACCGGCCAGGGATGAGCCTGGGTTGGGGTCTTTGGAGGGCCAAAGACCTTTAAGGAGGGAGGAATGTGGCGGTCAGCCGGGTTCGATCGCCGGTGGCCAGATAGCTCAGTTGGTAGAGCACCTGACCGGAGTTTCAGGGGGTCCGGGTTCGAATCCCGGTCTGGTCCGCTGCATTTTCTCCTCTCCCGTTACATATATATACATATTTAAATTATGTTCGGCTCTAGCTTTTTTATATAGATGTTTATATACTTGTACTTTGCAGTATATCATATTCCTATATAATAAAGACTTATCATAGACGTGACAGAAGGTCAATAAGATAAAGTAGACAAGCGAGTGTTTGTGATAGATCTAAGAACAATGGACACGAAATTTGTTTTGATTGCACTCTGTGTTGGTAAGAAATAGGTTCATATCCTTTATATTGTAACTTGTGATTTATAAGTTTCTTTAGGGGTTTTAAAATTCTATTTTTATGTTCGTAAATATTCAAGATATTAGACAAGGTTGAATTGTGGGTGGTACTGGTATTCACAAATGAAACCTATTGTGTGAAGACAAGTGTATGTCTATATTGAACTAAATTCTCTGTTTTGAAAAAAGTAACATATGCACTGTTAGTAATTCATCAGGATCAGATGACTAAAATTTTGATATGTTATTTTAAAAAGAATTGATAACATACATAAAAAGGAATACAATAGATATATGTTTGTTAACTTTTTTATTGGACTTTTCTTATCTTTAAATTTCAAAAGAAAAATACTTCCTAAAACAATTTATTGAGTTGTATTTAAAATAATTATATCAATCAGTTAAATGTTCTATCAGGTTTAGTTACCAGCGAACACTGTACGGAAACCAATTCCTGTCATCATACGTCGTGTGATTCCGGCAGCGAGATCCACTGTGTCAACAACTTATGTACATGTACCGTAACAACCACATGGAGTAAGTCGCTACCTCATTAGTATGTGATATGTACTGTAATAACCACAAATAGAACCTAAAGGAACTTTGTTATTTACGTTTTGTGTACGTACTTCATGAAATTAATTGTTTTGTTATTTACATGTACTTATCTTCCATTCTGTAATTATTATATATTTCCATTTCTAAATTTTTTCTCTATAATAACCCTTTGAAAGTAAGCGGAGTTGATTTCCTGATAACGGAATGTAAATTAGGCAGGTCGATAGGTCAGGAGCTAAGGAGGCCTAATACGCATGCAAATTTTGTGCGCATCTGTCTCTGTGTCTGACGCTAAGGAGGTTAAATATGCATGTAAATCTCGTGCGGTTGCCTTTGTGTTTGACGTCAGTGTGCTAGGACTATTGAAATTGGCATGGAAGTCCTCGTGTAATTTAAATCGATTAGTCTACATTCTTAATGTCTAAGTCTACAATTTTATTTCACAATGAAATGGAAATATAAGGAATCATTGTTTTGTTGCCAGGGACATTTACATGATAATTTTAGCATAACGGGCTTCGCCCATTATGCAAATTAATCATTATATGAGAACTCTCATAGATTCCTTAAATAAGAAGCATGGATTATACAGACTTACTCGCTAGTCAGCAGTAATGTATTAAGTAATTCAAACAATACAAATCAGGAGTAGAGCAAACACGAACATCTAAAACATCAGAGGTGGAATCAGGCGCCACCGTGGATGGTGGTTCCAATGTCGACCGGTCACATCCGCTGTGTGCTCCATGTCATTATCAGGAAAAACAAAAAAATCTGTCAACAATCCAGTGTCACAATAAATCGATTTATCAGCTGTGTACAATTCTTAAACCATATCAGAGAACAATTCCGTGCGTAACTGTTGGAGGGTCTGACCAGTCGACATGAAAATACTCACTCTAAAATGGTACCTGATCCCAGGTCGGGTGTTTTCAGGGGTCACCCTGCTCTAAATCTACATTGCTTATTTGGAATTTTGAACGTGAATTCTGTACAGTATCTTTATAAATATTTTAATGTGTTTAAACCTTATAAATGTGCTCAATATCAAATACTTAAACCATTTTAAATCAGTGCACTAATTTGAAATACAGTACACGTTATGTCATGTCAATAAGGCAGTAACTCTGTAGATATCTATGTTTGGTCACAGAATATGTTATTTTGTTCAGTAACAACTTAACTGTATTCCACTGCAATTTTTATTTCTATAACTTTATCATATTTTCTATTTTTTTCAGCTTGTACTGACGTGCAGACCTGTCTAGCAATCAACGCCTGGATATGTCCTCAGAACAGACGACACTGTATCGACGGAAGGTGCAGATGTACCCAGTTCTGAATGTCTACATATCACTTACACACAAAGCAACAATTTGTTCATAAATATCTTGTTTCCAACCCGAGTGTTTTCTCTTACTAGATAAAACAACACATTTTTGCTTTTTTCTTGTTATTCTCTCAATTTTGATATCCTTTTCACCGGAATATGTACTTTTAAAATTGCTTAATAATAAAAAAAAAATACACCTATCTGAAATCTGAGATAGACATCTGTGTCCTAAAAAATGGAATGTCCATTTCCTGCGTTATTTTTTTAAATTAACCTTTAATTTATTAAAAGGATTTTCCTGTGCTATTATTTTTATCAGAAAATAATTATTCTAATCAATTTTGAAAATCGTTTTATTTTTTCATGGTCATATTTGGAGGTGTTGTGTTTCCTGTGATTATAGAAAACTGAATTTATACCTTTACGTATATTCCAGTTTGGATTTTTGTTTCCGTCATTTAAACAAAAAATGTAATCTCTGATCTTTAATTCACTCAGATATATTCAGGGAAAATAATTGTCATTTAATGAAATGTCTTCGACATTATTATCTTCAAACAAGAAGGCTTCAGCATGGGGTTTCCCCTCTCAGAAATGTTTTTTTTAAACAAAATAATTATTGCTTCATTAAAATATGATATATATGGAGATAACGAACAGTATTCAAGCTCAAAAGTCCATAAAACAATGCAAAATAGGAGCAGAGCAAACAAGGACCTCCAAAACATCAGAGGAGGGATCAGGTGCCATGGAGAAGTGAGCATCTCATGTCGACCGGTCACATCCACCGTGTGCTCCTTGCCATTATCGAAAAAAATCCGGGAAAATCCGTCGTCAAATCTATGTGTAAATAATGACGTTACAATTAATGTGAAAAAGTCAGTCAGCATTTGACTCAATGACAAATTATTTTTGCTGACAAGTTCATTGTATCGACCATAGAACCTTCGATATGATGACTTTAAACGAGACAGCTGATATTCTTGTTTCAGCAACTAGTTTGTCGATAACATACCTCAATATAAAGGTTGCGCATACGTAGAGCATGCTCTTGCGTATCAAATCAATTGAGAGATATCAGCCCGTATGCAGGTGATGAAGGTATACTGTTGGATATTTTTAAACGGGAAGTTGACGATTGAAAACATAAAGTCATTTTGTTTGTCACAAAGCTTGGTTGTTAGATTACCATCAACCTCTTTTTCAAATAAGATATCTAAATATGAAACAGATGCTTTAGACTCTGTGGTATTTTTTTTATCTCAACCCAACCGGGATATATCGTATTGACATAAGAATGGAAATAACCATTGTTAGGAGAAAATATTTTGTCGATTTATCTAATGGTGATGGGCACACTGTTTTCTTCTTTTCATCTATCAGATTTTGGGAAAAAAATTGCTACTCTGCTACATATGAATACAAAAATATGTCTGCTAACAACCGGGTGCAATTGGTACCCATGGGAATTCCAATGGACTGCTGGAAGACCAAGTATCAAACAAGAGGCCCATGGGCCACATCGCTCACCTGAGCAAGGTGGCTAGGAAAAACGCAGAAATCGTTTTTTATTGAAAGTTTAAACCCAATAGTGGTCCAATCCTTAAAGGGGAGAGGGTATGATTTGAACAAACTTGAATCTACACTAACTAAGGATGCTTGCATATTTCTTTGACTACCTGTGGCTTTATTGCCCTTTACATTTGAACTTACATTGTGACCGCGCCCTACCCCCAGAGGTCATCACTTGAACAAACTTAAATCTACACTACCTGAGAATGCTTCCATATGAATATGACTAATGATGGCTTTCCCATTCTTGAAAAGAAGATTTTTAAAGATTTCTTCTACATGTTTCTATGTAAAACTTGGATTCCATGTTATGGCCCCGCCCTATCCCCAGCGGTCATAATTTGAGCAAACTTGAATCTACACTACCTGAGGATGCTTCCATATAAATATGACTTATCATGGCTGCTATGCTTTTTAAAAAAAATCTCTATATATTTCTATGTAAAACTTTGATCAGACATTTTGGCCCTACCCTACCCCCGTGGGTCATGATTTAAATAAACCTGAATCGCCACTACCTGAGGATGCTTCCATAAAAATATGATCATTCATGCCTTTGCTATTCTTGAAAAGAAGATTTTTAAAGAATTTTCCTAAATATTTCATTGTAAAACTTTGATCGGCCATTGTGGCCCCGCCCTACCCCTGGGGGTCATGATTTGAAGAAAAACTTCAATCTCCACTACCTGAGCTTCCATATAAATATGATCATTTATGCCTTTGCTTTTCTTGAGAAGAACATTTTAAAGAATTTCCCTATATATTTCTATGCAAAAATTTGATCGGCCATTGTGGCCCCGCCCTACCCAAGGGTCATGATTTGAATAAACCTGAATTTCCACTTCCTGAGGATGCTTCCATATAAGTACGATCATTCATGCCTTTGCTATTCTTGAAAAGAAGATATTTTTAAAAAATATTTTCCTATATTTTTCAATGTAAAACTTTGATCGGCCATTGTGGCCCCGCCCTACCCCTGGGGTCATGATTAGAACAAACTTGAATCTCTGAGGATGCTTCCATATAAATATGATCATTCATGCCTTTGCTATTCTTGAAAAGAAGATTTTTAAGGATTTTCCTATATATTTCTATGCAAAACTTTGATCGGCCTTTGTGGCCCCACCCTACCCCTGCGGGGTCATGATTTAAACAAACTTGAATTTACACTACCCGAGAATGCTTCCCTATAAGTTTCATTTTCCTGGCACAGTGGTTCTTGAGAAGAAGATTTTTAAAACATACCACAAAATTTTCACTATTTCTGAATTATCTCCCCTTGAATAAGGGAGTGGCCTTTCATTTGAACAAACTTGAATTCCCTTTACCCAAGGATGCTTTGTGGCAAGTTTGGGTAAAATTGGCCCAGTGGTTCTTGAGAAGAAGTCGAAAATGTGAAAAGTTAACGACGACGACAGACAACGGACAAATTTTGATCAGAAAAGCTCACTTGAGCCTTTGGCTCAGGTGCGCTAACAAGAGACCCATGGGCTACATCGGTCACCTGAGCACTTTGGCTAGAAAAAAGAAGAAATTAGTCTATTATTAAATAGGTTAAATCCAAAAGTAGTCCCAACCATTTCTTAAAGGAGAGAGGATATAATTTGCAAAAACTTGAATCTACACTACTCGACAATGCTTCCATATGAATATGATCAAACATGGCTTTGCTATTCTGGAGAAAAAGATTTTTAAAGAATTTTCCTATATATTTCTATGTAAAACTTTGGTCGGCCATTGTTGCCCCGCCCTACCCCCGGGGGTCATGATTTGAACAAACTTGAATCTACATTACCTGAGGATGTTTCCATATAAGTATGATCAATACTGTCTTTGTTATTCTTGAGAAGAAGTTTTTAAAGAATTTTCCTATATATTTCTATACAAAACTTTGATCGGCCATTGCGGCCCTACCCCCGGAGGTCATGATTTCAATAAACCTGAATTGCCACTACCTGAGGATATTTCCACCAAAGTTTCATTTTTCCCGGCACAGTGGATCTTGAGAAGAAGATTTGTAAAACATGCCACCAAATTTTCACTATTTCTGAATTATCTCCCCTTGAATGAGGGCGTGGCCCTTCATTTGAACAAATTTGAATCCCCTTCACCCAAGGATGCTTTGTGGCAAGTTTGGTTGAAATTGACGCCGGACAAAATGTGATCAGAAAAGCTCACTTGAGCTTTCGGCTCAGGTGAGCTAAAACCACATAGATATTGTGAATCAGGAACTCAAGCATCTTTTTAATATCAACTTCAGAATACGCGTGTGTACAGTAATGTCTTTTAATAAAATAATATTTAATATTTCCAAAATTTCCTTTAAATTTTTTAATATTTACAACACTTCTCAAATATAGATTCCTTAAGTTTCTCCTTCACTACTGTTGAATGTTTAGTGAGGAGTAAAGAAAGAGGCTTGGTTGAACATTTTACTGGAACCCACAATGTATCTTTCTAAGATTTTTTCTAAAATTTTAGAATCCAATATACCGGTAGATTTGGAAACTCGAATTCATGTTGGTTGTTTGGAATATTAGAAGATTAAACACTAACATAATATGTATACGTCTACATATACTAGTATTAAGTTAATGATGAAGTTAACAATTAGTATTCGTGTATATTTCCAAAAACATATCACATTTAAACTGACACACAATGAGGTTTGAAATATTCCAAACATTCCTTGTTGCAATCATATACAAATGCAGTGTCCCTTCTGTTCTCTAAGGCTTTAAGTACTAGTAAGTTCATTTTTTAAAACTCCTTTTTAAATGAATTATGATCAACTATTTGATAAACAGCGTTTGAAATCCTCAAATTGACTTGTTTTAGTGTGTCTATCGTTACATTCCCTTACTTATGCAGCAAATAACCTTCATCACCTGCAACGGAGTATATATATATATATATATATATATATATATATATATATATATATATATATATATATATATATATATATATATATATATATATATATATATATATATATATATATATATATATATATATATATATATATCAGTTGATTCGATACGCAAGAGCATGCTCTACGTATGAGCAATTTCTAAAACGAGGTAAATTATTGACAAGCAAGTTAATGAAACAAGAATATCAGCAGTCTCATTAAAAGTCATCATTTCGTAAGTTCTATGGTCGATACAATGACCTTTTCAGCAAATACAATCTATCATTGAGTCAAATGCTGACTGACGTTTTTCGTACCAATTGTTAGTCCATTATTTATATGCTGAATTGACGACGGATTTTTTCGTTATTTCCCGATCATGACAAGGAGCACACGGCGGGTATGACCGGTCAGCAGGGGATGCTCACACCTCCATGGCACCTGATCCCACCTCTGAAGTTTTGGAGGTCCGTGATTGCTCTGCTCTTAATGTGTATTGTTTTATGGACTTTGATATTGAATACTGTTCGTTATCTCCAGATCTTTCATCAAAATCATACCAAAATCAACAGCTTAAAAACTTACGACTTTTCAACTTTATCCACAGCCATTCCCCGCGATAAATTAAAGTCCAGGCTTTTTGATATCATTGACAGCTGCTTTTTCAATAAAAATGGAACTCGTAAATTTAACCTGGTCATTGGTGGACGTGGATGCTCAAAAATTCCAAATAACTTTTGGACAATTTGAAGCCACAAGATTTTAAAAATGGAACGATAAATTACAGAACAGGCTTTTAAATATTATTGATAATGTTTTGTCAATTACATAAATTTGCTTACCTGGTCATTGGTCATTTGCAAAATTATTTTGTTAAAACACATTCTGATTGCACACACAAGTACTCTGAAGTTGACCTCAAAAAGATGCTTGAGTTTCTGATTGACAATATCTATGTGGTTTTTGGAGACCAGGTATTCCAACAATCTATTGGAATTCCTATGGGTACCAATTGCGCTCCGTTATTAGCAGACCTATTTCATATTCATATGAAGCAGAATTTGTGCAAAATCTAATGCGTGAAAAGAAGAAAACACTTACTGTGGCCTTCAACACGACATTTAGATACATCGACGGCGTATTGTCAATTAACAATGGTCATATCCATTCCTACGTCGATACGATATATCCTGGTGAGCTTGATATAAAAGACACCACAGAGTCTGACACATCTGTTTCATACTTGGATATTTTACTTGAAAAAGACGTTAATGTTAATCTAACAACCAAGCTGTATGATAAACGTGATGACTTTAACTTTTCTATCCTCAGCTTCCCTCACTTATGCAGCAATATACCTTCATCACCTGCATATGGAGTGTATATATCTCAGTTTATTCGATACGCAAGAGCATGCTCTACGCATGAACAATTTCTAAAACGAGGTAAATTATTGACAAGCAATTTGATGATACAGGAATATCAACAGTCTCGTTTAAAGTCATCATTTCGTAAATTCTATGGTCGATACAATGACCTTATCAGCAAATACAATTTATCATTGAGTCAAATGCTGACTGACGTTTTTCATATTAATTGTTGGTCCATTATTTATACACTGAATTGACGAGGGATTTTCTCGTACTTTCCCGATCATGACAAGGAGCACCGGGTGTGACCGGTCAGCAGGGGATGCTCACTCCTCCATGTCACCTGATCCCACCTCTGATGTTTCGGAGGTCTGTGTTTGCTCTGCTCCTATTTTCAATTGTTTTATGGACTTTGATACTGAATACTGTTCGTTATCTCCATATCCTTATTTTGCATGTTTTAAATGCGATAAGAACAAAAAGTATTTTAGCTGCTATTCAGTGTAGGAAGTATTGATTTTCGAGTATTTATTTAGAGTCTTGTACATCTGCATTCTCCATCAATACAGTGGCGCCTGGACAAAGGACAGTTCCAGTTGTTAACTCGTTGACAATCCGTCAAAGATGTACATCCTGAAAATAACAAAAGATTTATTTTTTATGTATATACGCTTATATACAGGGCTATAAATAGAGCAATTGATATTTCTGGGATCAGATGAGATATTTTAAGTACTAACTGTGTTCAGAGGAATCCGTGCACGTGCAGATCCCGTGGACGCAGTGAAGCTGACTGGTGCTGTCACACTGTGTATGTGAACAGTCGCCATCACTTCGGCAGGACTCGGCTGCTACATATCCTGTAAGAAATACACTTTGACGTCATCAAATAGCTCAAACTGGTTACATTCGAAAATTAGTAGATCAAACTATACAGATTTGTAGATGCGTAGAAGTTGTTATATGCAATTCCTATATAATTTATTGCGCAAAGCATATTGCATCTAAATATCGACGAATTTTGAGGGTCATAATGGCATTTGTGATAAAGAAATGCACTACTCAAGGCACTCGATGGTAACCCAATGTTTCGAAAAATGAGTAAAAACGACAGCGTGTTAGAACATCTAAACAATTATTTTTTAAAAAAATAAAAAATTGGAGTTGTCCACGTTTGTCTGAAATTCAAACAGATATAGTGAAACTTGAATCCATTTCTTTAAACTCTCAAAACAAATCATTACAAATTTACCATAAGATGCACTTGACAAAAACAGCAAAGGTCTGGGACGAGGAAAGAATTGCAATAGCACAATAACAGTTTTAGTTGCCATCTTTAAATATTACTAGTCTTGTTGCTCAAATATTTATTCAGGGAGGCAGCTCAATTTCTGGAGAAGTCTAGAAAGCAAACTTTTGCGAAAAAATCAAAAGGTTTATGAGAGGATGGAACCAGAATCAGGAATCTACTACAATAAATCTCTTCACGACAGCGTCCAAACCCACACACCATGAAGTAGTTTTGGGGATAATCAGAAAGTTAATGTTTTGTCATACCAATAATATTCGCCAGATCTTTCAACCTTTGACTTGTTTCATTTTCCAAACTTGAAAAAACATGTTTCAGAAAGAAGAGAAAAGTCAAGGATATAAAAGGATCTGCCATATTTCAGTATACGAAGGGCCATACTAAAAATACGTTCTAAAACAGAAACTAGATAAAAATTTACGGACATCTGTTTTAACAAAAAGAAAATATTTAAGTGAAATCATTCAGGCTAAATCATTGAAAAGCGTTCTTAGATTCTTTCCGAGCACTGAGGACATTATTTACTGAACAGCCCTCGTACATGTATACGTAGAAGATAGCATATTATGTTGAATCATTTATAGTGGATGCCTGAACATCGCTCAGGATGAAACATGATTTAAGTCGATAAAACAGACAGACAAACTTACCAACGACGACGGCCAAAAGGAGGAAGACTTTCATGGCTTTGATAGAAAAATCAGTGAACGGCGATAGAACGGCGATGTCGTCTTATATATCCATATCAAAAAGGTCACTGGTGGTCAACATAGTCTCACGTTTTCAAAGCTTATCAAATACCAAAATATACCTCCATATCTTCACATTTTATGCATGAGATTATAAAGGTATTACGTCCTGACAATTATTTCATGAACTACTCCGGATTTATCCTGGCCATGATCTGGATCATTGTGGTTAAATTCGGTTTGTTTCGTGCTTCAGTTTGATTCACCTTTCTTTAGAAAGATGGATATACGGAAGGTTTGAAATATTAAATGATTTTTAAATGATTGTATATATATCTAATTTTATTCCAACAAGTTAAGATGAAATTAATGCTTTTCTACGATAAATAATTACATTTAGTTTCATTCACTTTCAGCATTTTGCACTGGAGCTACACTTCCAGATCTATACACAAAAAATGCACAAAGTAACTTATATGTCCAACGGGCCTGATATAAAATTTGTTATATTTCCATTCCTATTTTTTTTCTCTATGATAACTCTTTGAAAGTTAGTGGAGTTGTTTTCTTGATATTCTACCGATCGGTATGTTAATTAGGCGAATCGATAGCTCGGGAGCTAAGGAGGCCTTATATGCATGTAAATCTCGTCCACGTCTGTCGATTTGTCCGACGCAATACGGAACCCAACTATGCATGAAAATCTCTTGCGGCTGTCTTTGTGTTTGACGTCAGTGAGCGAGGACTATTTGATTTGGCATGGGAGTCCTCGTGTAATTTAAATCTATAAAATCTAAATCTTTAAAGTCTTAATCTACAATTTATATCACAATGAAATGGATAATCAAGAAATCACTGTCTAGTTAGTACAGTATGCCAGGGACATCAACCATAGTTGGAAATGTGGGATAATATATGCATAACGGGCTTCGCCGTTATGCAAATTATCCCACGTTCCCCATGGTTGATGCCCTGGCATACTATACTAGCTAGACAGTGATTCCTTGAATATCCATAATTATGGTACATTTAATATTCTGTATGTACTGCAGAGCCGTGCTACACGTGTATCATTAGATCTATTTTTCCAATTATAGATTTCTTCCGGCCAACGACGCCACTCACTTCCCCTGCCAACATTCCCTCTTGCCCCACGACACACAACGCGGTCATAATTGGTGGAGATATCCTAAGGGTTACATATATTTTGGTTTAAATACATCCAGAACAGATGTAAAGTCCCAGCCATTATGGGTTATATGTATAAATATAGGCCATTTTTTTTAAAACGACAAAACTATATAGGCCAATCGGAGATAACATTTAACACTTTTGCTATGAAAGTGCTATCAGTCAAAGTAGGCAGATCATAATAGAAAATGTGAACGAACCTACATGAATATTCACTAAACCTAGAAATTGTTTTGAATTGAATTTCGGTTAGAAACACATGCATGTGGTCCACGTATTGTAGTCCTTTTTTTAAAGGACAGCAACTTGTTGAAACATTCACTGAAATATTTATTCCCTCACTTACTGATTTATTAACTTACACTTCATTGAATTCCTATAATTTCAATATAGTAAAATGAAATACACTGTATATGGACTTTGATATTGAATACTGTTATCTCCATATCCTTCATTCAAGATCAAGTGTCCATAAAACAATACAAAATAGGAGTAAAGCAAACAAGGATCTCCAAAACATAAGAGGAGGGATCAGGTGCCATGGAGGAGTGAGCATCCCCTGTCCACCGGTCATTTCCGCCGTGTTCTTCTTGTCATGATAGGAAAATAAAAAAAATTCGTTGACAATTCAGTATATCTAATGACCTCACAATTAGTATAAAAAACGTCAGTCAGCATTTGACTTTATGATAAACTGTATTTGCTGACAAGGTTATTGTTTCGACCATAGAACATACGAAATGATTACTTTAAGCGAGACTGCTGATATTCTTGTTTCATAAACTTGTGAGTCAAAAACTTACCACGTTTAAAATCGTTCGTACATAGAGTATACTCTTGCTTATCGAATGAACTGAGTAATATTGTCTTGTTTTAAATAAAGCCTCTAAATCTCAAATGTAGTCTACACCTGTCGTCCATATAGGACCAATAGCGTTACATGGAGTCTACTGTGGATTAATGGATCAACTTTCTATTCATTTCATTCCTACCTTTATCAACTATTGGAAATGTATCTTGGAAAAGGTTCTAACAAACAGAGACAATTTATTGTTTATATTTACATCTGTATGAAAAAACATTCAGAGTAAAAATTAATAAGTTAAATTTCACAGTGACATGTAAAAATCAGGAATCACTGTCTAGTTGCAGTGTAGAATAGTATGCCATAAACATCAACGACAGATGGAAACGTGGGGAAATTCATGCATACCCTGTCATACACAACAAACTAACAGTATTCCTTAAATATATATTTGTCAGTTTCTTGTGATTAAGATTTTATTGCTTCTAACATTCCGTAATTTTCTCAGTTTAGATGCATTACTACAACATATTTTAAATTGTTAGGAACAGATATGATTTCATATTCAAATTACATGTAAATATTTGGTTAAATATACAAATGTTGCATATTTTGATATTGGAAAGTATTTGCTCAAAATTGATTTTAAAAAACATTTTTAATGAATAAATCTTAAAAAAGAACATACCAAACAATATATGAGTTTTGAAGATACGTACCTCGTTTTGTGAAATTGCATTTGACTTGTCAAGGAAAACAACACAAAAAAAATTCAAGTAAATTGTGACTGTTGCAACTGAAACACATCTATGGCATTTCATATAAAAAGCTCGGATCATTCAACAGAGATATTTAAAATTTGACATTCTTGTTATTCGAGATATTTTGTTAGTATTTTAGACTCCTCGATATAATTTCTTTGAGTAATTTACATTTATTGTTAGATAGGCTTTTCAATTTATTAAAATCGAGTACATTTGCATAATCCATCAATGCAATGGCGACGGTCACGTGGGCAGTCCCACCTCATCAGGTAGGCGCAGTCTCTTTGTGTTTGGCATTCTAGTATTGAAAAGATAAATTACAATCAGGTTAACTGCAGATGAAATAAATGTATATATATTTAAATAAAATCCAAATTCAAATGACAAACTCAAACTTTTATCTAAAGCGCTTTCGCCCCATGCGGGCTCATCAGTAGATCTACTAATTAGTCCGCATAGGGCGAAAGCGCTTTAGATAAAAGTTTGAGTTTGTCATTTGAATTTGGATTTTATTTTATCCCTATACCAAGGAAAAATAATTTTTTGAATATATTCAAATATATATTTGATAATTCAAATTTCAGAACATCATAATAGATTCCACAATATCAAAATGATTTTATTTTTAATTTAGTAAATCATGAGAGAGAGAGAGAGAGAGAGAGTTCTTGCCTTCTTGCTTTCAAATGCATGTTTGCTTTACTTTTCAAAATTTTTAGCTATGTTCATCGTTTAATATCAAAGACATAAAAAATTTCTTACTATGCGTAGTTGGTGCTGTACATGTACACGTATTGTAGACACAGTGGAGCTGGGTGGAGGAATCACACTGGACATGTGAACAGTCAGAATCACTTCTACACTGCTCTGCAACAGCGCAACCTGTAGAAGAGTCAATAATATTATAGATTGACACATCACAGCGGCGCAACCTATAGGAGAGTCAATAATATTACAAATTGACTCAACTCCACAACAGCGCAACCTTTGAGATGCTAAATAAAATTACAGATTTACGCAACTCTACAACAGCGCAACCTGTAGGAGAGTCAATTTTATTACAGATCAACACATCTCTGCCGCAGGAAAACCTATCTAGGAGAGTCAGTTGCATTATAGATCGAAACCCTCTGACGCAGCAAAACCTATCTTGGAGAGCCAATTATATTACAGATCTAAAATCTTCCATTTTATAGGACAGCTAATTAAATTCCAGATTGAATTACATTAGTATATCTCCCACAAGAGAAGTAGGGGGTACTCAGTATACAGTGATCGCGATGTCCGTCCGTCTAGCTGTACGTTCGTCCGTATGTTACGTTTTGGGTAATATCCATCTCTTCTCCACAACTCCTCTTATGTCACTGAATAAAATAATTCATAAATCCTATGTCCTAATAGGAATTTAACTTTTCCTTATTTAAATAAAAAAACTATTAGGTAAAAGAAAAAATGAAAACAATTTAGCTAGGTTATTTCTCCTAATTAATACAAATAATTATTAAGATGGTTATTCATACCAATGACAGCAACTAGAACCAGTAAAGCCTTCATACTAGCAGTTTTAAATGATTCCTTGTTGACAATTCTAAACTGTGGTTCAAATAAACAGGCCTTTCCTTAAATAGCAGTACTAGACTTATCAGAGACATAAAGCCTTCGGTCTGTGGACATAGCACGTCCGTCGTGTTGTCCATCTACCATGTAATATGTCTTGCAGGTTCATAAGGATATAAGGTGTGTTCCCATTTTGCCTTAACTGTGAAATATATAGGTATGAAAAATGTGAAAAAGTTTTAAGGCGAAGTGGGCATAGGATGACTTCTTTGTAGTACTAATAATTGTAAATTAATTAGATGTGTGTTTTACCGTACTATAGGAAGTTAATTTCAAAAGATATATTTTGTTTTAAAATGAAAAAAAATAGTAATATATTAATATTATCAATGGCCTCTAAAATCGTTGTACAATAAAAAAAAACCCATAAAACATAGAGGTAAATAAATATTCATGAAAATGTAAATTAATTTATGGATATATGTCTTAGAAAATACCAAGTATGGAAAATGATTCATGTAAATCTTAAATGTTATAAAATCTTATGCGTAAAAAGAAGAAAACACTTGCTGTGGCTTTTAACTTATACTTATGTCGATATGATATATCTAACAACAAAGCTATATGATAAATGTGATGACTTTAACTTTTCTATCTTAAACCTCCCTTATTTATGCAGCAATATGCCTTCATCACCTGCATATGGAGTTTATATATCTCAGTTGATTCTATACGCAAGAGCATGCTCTACGATTGAACAATTTCTATAACGAGTTGATAAAACAAGAATATCAGCAGTCTCGTTTAAAGTCATCATTTCGTAAGTTCTATGGTCGATATAATGATCTTGTCAGCAAATACAATTTATCATTGATTCAAATGCTAATTGACATTTTTAATACTAATTGTTAGTCCTTTATTTATACACTGAATTGACTACGAATTATCCCGTTGTTTCCCGATTATGACAAGGAGCACAGGGCGGGTGTGACCGGTTGGCAGGGAATTCTTAATCCTCAATGGCACCTGATCCCAACTCCGATGTTTTGGATCGAGGTCCGTGTTTGCTCTGCTTCTATATTGTAATGTTTAACAGACTTTTGATCTGAACTCTATTCATTATATCCAAATGTTTCATTTCAGTCAGTATTCTACAGTATTTTTGATGCTTAAAGTACGAAAGCCCAGAAGGCTCATTCGAGATTCGAGATTCAAAATACGAGATTCGAAATTCGAGATTCGAAATACGAGTTTCGAGATTCAAGATCCAAACTAACCAATCAAAAGCGGATTCAACATTTGATTACTCCCCTTTATTATGTTTTTACTATCAAGAAATCGTTTAAAATAATTATAACCAATGGGTCATTTGATTAAATTACAATGCAAGAAAGGTTGTTTTATATATATTAGAAGGAAATTTAATAATTATTGGATTTTTGCAACAAGATATACTTCAATTTATATTATAGCTTCTTAAATATTAAATAGATTACATGTATCAGGAGTATATATATTTTTGTATTATCTTCTACACTTATGTTTTTTTTTTTTGGTATTTCCGCGCATAGGAAAACCACAGGTACTTGTGGACAGGACCCCTCCCCCCTCCCCCCCTCGATATTCAATACCAGGGCTTACTGGACATTTTTTTTAACAAATTATATTTATTACACTTATTAATAGCCATTCTCTGTAGCCACTTAAACTTCGTTGCCACGCATGGTCACCGATTTTGATGAAACTTCACCCATGCTTAGTACTTGACACCAGAAACAAATATCAAACAAAATTTCGTTGCTATGTGTCTCGGTTGCTATGGCAACAACCGGAAAAGTTTGAAAAATCGAGATTTTCAGCCACTTTAAATCTTGACTGTGGCTTAATAAAAACTAGAAAAAGCAAACAAGTCATTTTCACAAAGACATGACACCTTGGTGTCACTTATACTGTAAAGAAAATGTTTAGAATATATCTCTAAGTAAGTGGTAACCAAGGATACATTTGGAATACTTTTAAAAAATGCTGAAATATGCTGAAAAATACTCCGTATTCACTAGTTGTAGGTGTTACATGCTCAAACTCAATCAACGACTTAAGAAAAACAATGAAAATGTTTGAACTTAAGTATATGAGTATAAGCAATATTATTCTATAAATACCTTTTATGGTTGCCATGGTAACACAGTGTAACCATGCAAAACCAGTAACTAAGTTTGGGTTAATGCTACTGTCTTGAGGAAAAACATGAAAACTCAAAACTGGCAAATATGCATCCTTAGGACCTTACAACACCAAAACCATAAGAAAAATTGGGTATAATTGCTACTTTGCAGTGTTACCATGGAAACAAAGTACCAGTGCTTAAAAGTGAATTATTTTTCGCTGCATTCAGAATTAAATTGCCATATAACCACTAAACAAATTAAAGGACTGAGGTTGAATCATACTTATCTGTTAGAACTGAAGTTGAATATCATATATTGATAAAATTTGATGAAGAAAACAACACTGTTGCTATGGTTACCAAGAAGGGAAAATGTTCGATTTTGTGAACTTTATATTAGTATTAAACCCTGTGTGCCAACTTCTTGCATCCACTTAGAGATTGGATGATAGTCAAAATTAAAAGTCAGGTAAGCTGTTAATAAATATCAATCACAAAAGTTTTGGGAATCTACATTTAAGGGTACGTATCCAAGGACAGAAAATATTTTTCAGGTTTTTAAGCATATATTTTCTGCTTATTTCCATAGCAACGCTCTATTTAAAGAATCTAAACCGAATTTTTTCAAATGGGAAAACTAGAAGCACACCAACATCTTCAAAAATTGATTATCAGTTATGAGGAAATGTGCTTTTTTAAAAGATAGGATCAGATTGAAACAAACAGAGTGTTACTTTGAAGGCTCTCTGTGGTATAAAAACCTTGGCAACCATTGCCACCCAAAATAAAATATCATATTTTGTTCTTGGTATATGTTTCAAGGCTCGTTTTTCTATTATTTGGTCACATATTTTCCTATAATTGCTTTTTATTTTTACGTGTATGACTTTATAAAATTCAATGAATATTTTTTCACTTTTGAATACTTTGTTGCCATAGTAACGTATGTAATAGTTGATTTACCAAACATGTTTATCATGCATTTGAGACATCTGACCTTCAACTTTTGGAAACAGTCATTGCCAATTGTTTGCTTTGCCGCAAATGTTAACTATGGGGCTCTAAACATGTTAAAAAATGCCGTTTTTCGAACTTTAAGACATGTTGCCATGGTAACTATAAAACATAGCAACCAATTTTTGCCTGATTTCAGTTTAGGGTATCAAAAACTTTTATCATAGAGAGTTTCGAGAAATTCTGAGACTATGCGTGCCATAGCTCCTATATAAAAGTTCAAGTCATTACAGAGAATGGCTCTTAATGTGTACAATACGAAAACATCACGAGCGTAAAACCCCCAGAATAATCGTTTAACCAAAAAAAAAAAAAACACTATACATTACCCCACCCCACTATACAAGAGAGGTGTCATTTAAGGAGAAAATGTGGGATTATTACGAGATGCAGAGTCAATCCGATAGCATGGACTAAGACAGAAATATATGTAGAGATAGTTAATTTTAAGCAACATTTTAAGTTAAAATAAATGAATGGTTTTATACCTAGAAATAGCAGCGGGCGTACAACGTAAACAAACTGGAGTGCTTGTGGCATATTTTCTCTCTTATAATTTATAGTGGGGTATTTTTTGTGTTGAGCGATTATTCTGGGTTTTTACGATTTTTTTTGGCATTGAACACACGATGAATAAGTGTATTAGATATATGTTGTGAAAAAAAGTCCAATAAGGGTTGGACATCGGGGGGGGGGGGGGGGGGGGTGCCCTGTTGACAATTACATTTGGTTTTTTATGCCAGGAAATACATAAAAATTAAGTTTAGAAGACAATACAAATATATATATATACTCATGATATAAGTAATCTTTTTAATATTTAAGAAGCTACAATATAGATTGAAGTATATCTTTCTGATCAAAAATCCAAAAATTATTAAAATTTCCTTCTAAAATATATTACACACTTTCTTGCATTGTAATATAATTAAATGTACCCATTTGTTATAATTATTTCAAACGATTTCTTCATAGTAAAAACATAATAAAGGGGAGTAATCAAATGTTGAACCCGCTTTTGATTGGCTAGTTTGGATCTTGAATTTCATATGGAATTTATGTATCTCAATTTCGAATCTCGTATTTGAAACTCGCTTCTGATTGGTTAGTTTGGATCTTGAATTGAAACTCGAATTTCGAACACATAAAATTTCAAATTCGTACTTTGAAACTGAATATCGAATGAGCCTTCTGGGCTTTCGTAATATACTCATGATATAAGTAATCTTTTTAATATTTAAGAAGCTATAATATAGATTGAAGTATATCTTTCTGATCAAAAATCCAAAAATTATTAAAATTTCCTTCTAAAATATATTACACACTTTCTTGCATTGTAATATAATTAAATGACCCATTTGTTATAATTATTTCAAACGATTTCTTCATAGTAAAAACATAATAAAGGGGAGTAATCAAATGTTGAACCCGCTTTTGATTGGCTAGTTTGGATATTGCAATTTCGAATCTCGAATTTCGAAAAGAATTTCGAATCTATACTTTGAAACTCGCTTCTGATTGGTTAGTTTGGATCTTGAATTGAAAACTCGAATTTCGAATCTCGAATTTCGTAAAATCTTGTACTTTGAAACTCGAATCTCGAATGAGCCTTCTGGGCTTTCGTATTAAAGTCTATTGACTTCATTTTTTTCATCTATTTGTTTAAGGTTTTGTATCATTCTTGCATAATATTCCATTATTTCTCATTTCCACTTTGAGCAAATAACTTGAAATCTCTGAAATCTGTGAAATTTTGCCATGCAATGCAAACAATACTTATACGCATAATTATATGTTTATATTAGTTCCCATTTCGTCTTAATGAAGGATATGGAGATAACGAAAAGTATTCAATATCAAAGTCCATAAAACAATACAAAATAGGAGCAGAGCAAACATGGACCTCCAAAACATCAGAGTGGGATCAGGTTCCATGGAGGAGTAAGCATTCCCCGCCGAGTGGTCACACCCGCCGTGTGCTCCTTGTCATGGGAAATAAACGCAAGAAGGTAATATATAAGG